CAACGCATCTTCATAGGCAATCCCACGGCAGATACGCTGTTTATGGACGAATGCCACACAAGTTTGGTCGTGTGAAGTCGGGCTGAGTGCAGAACGGTCGAAGCGGCCGGCCTCGCGTCACTGTTCGAGTTCGTGCACCGCGGCACCGCGCAGCCTTTCCTCTCGTCGCGGTGCTTCAGTTACATACATGAGGGGTAGATCACGGCCGCCAGATAAAACCTGCCATAATTACGTACGGGGTGTGTGTGCTCTTTCTATTATCAGGACCAGTGGGGTGGGTCGCTTGGCTCTCTCTCTCTCTCTCTCTCTCTCTCTCTCTCTCTCTCTCTCTCTCTCTCTCTCTCTCTCTCTCTCTCTCTCTCTCTCTCCCTCTCTCTCTCTCTCTCTCCTCTCTTCCCCTTTCTCCCTCTCCTTTTTTATCGGAGGGATTAATTTTCTGTAGCGCGGATGGACTAGTGCGCGTGGGGGGCTGGGAATCGAGATGAAGCAGAAGTTGAATGGGAGGCGAGGCCTTGGGCGAGGCTGGCGCGGCACGGCGGGGACGGCCGATAACTTGTTTGAAAATGGAAGTTGGCCGCACGCGCTTCAACCCTTGGCGACAATGTGGCCCGGAGGACGCGGCATCTGATAAGGCGCCCTTCGAACTTTGAAAACGATGCGGCACTATTTGAAATCCAGCTCGTTAGGCGACGCGCGGCGAATCCCAATTCATGGCAACCTTGAGGACTAAACGGCCGCGGGGCGGTGATAAGCGCAAGCCTCAAGGTGCGTCGATACCATCTAAAGTGTGTCTCTTGCGTGGCGCACCGGGCGGCTAATGCCTTCCAGACAGCAGCATCAGCGAAAAAAAAAATGCAAACGAAAACAAACATCAGGAAAGGCGAATTTTGGTGCAGATTGCTGGTACGTCGAAGTGGTGAATTCGGGTGTTGCTGCCACTCTGTTTCCTCATTCACCGAAGCCCCTTGATTGGAGCCCGGAGCGCCTCCTTTCAAAAGGTCCTCAGCCCATGAGCTGACTTTTTCAAGAGACTGGCCCTGCAGGGCACAAAAAATGCCCTTTCTCGCGTGCGCACCTCTGTTTCTTTCCATTCACTTTTTGCGAAAAAAACCGGTTTCTTTCCATTTGGAAGGGGGTCCCCGCCCGCCCCGCCGCATCGCCGCGCCGTCTCAAAGGCCTCCTTATCCCTGTTGAATTATGCCGGCGTCGGTTTTCGGGTGACCCTCACTTCCGCAGAAATGTGGGCCTGCTTTTTCCACCCGCGCGTGCGCACCTCGAGTTTTGGTTTCTTTCCATTCTTTTTATCCTTTCCTGGGGCGTGCGTAATGAAATATCCGGGTGTAAGTACGCCACCAGGTTTGAATGTCAGGGCTGTCCCCGTCCCGGCCCCGGCCGGGGCCTGGGAAAAAAACGGGTCATTTTTAGTGTCCTTTTTTGGAAAAATTATTTTCCGCCGCATTTCGGTTTGTGTATTACAACGTTAAAATTCGGCTTTAAATTTCCGTTTTGGGCTTTTGGGCACCCCAACATTCCCCCCCGGTTTTCCACCGCCTCCCGGCCCTTTTGGGCCCCGGTGACGTTTGAGACCGTGTGGTTCTTTTTAATGTGTGTGTGTGTGTCCTAACTAATGCCCGGCCGGGGCCGCGTTTGCGGGGTTTCACTGCGTACGAAAGGGGGTTGGTGTTGTCCGTCGGGTTTAATTAAGGTCGACCAAGACCGAAAATTAAATGGTCAGGGGCTGTCCTCGCTTGTCCATGTTGGCCCGCCATGTCGGAAGCCGTATGCTGTGGAGAGTTGCAGCATTGCGGCGGGTGGATTAAAAATGGAGCGCTAAAATCGAAAACGTTTTGAAATTCCGTCATGTGTCCTCGGGCTAGACGCCGCTAGACGCGCCGCCTCTTGGTCCACCCCTTTGCGCAGCGCGACGGCCGGCCGAGGCCACCCCTTTGTGCATAGCCAACGAAGTCAGCTTCCTGTGGCGCTTGAAGCCACTACTCCACGATGATTCGTGGCCTCCTCGCCGCGTGTCCTGGACCCATTCGCGGGCCCAGCCTTTCACCCACATCGATGTGGAGCCGTTTTGGACTTGGGACCCAAATCGGAGGCGGGGATTTGCTGTGCATTCGCGCGGCAGGCGCGGCCCCAGTGTAGTTTTCATCAAGTCCTTTTTCTCCCCGGGGCGCGGCCCTTGCGGGGCCCAGCCGGCCGATGGGAACGCCTAACGAAGCTCGGAACATGCCGCGAGAAACTTTTCTGGAGAAACTTGATGGATCCGTTTCACATGAAAACGTCGATCGGGAAGTTGGGCGCAAAGGGGCAGGAGGGGGAGGGTCTTCTATGATCCGCGCCGTAAAAGTAATCAAGTTTCAGAAGAGTTTCAGCGAGAGGGTTGCGCACTACCTCTTTGCGTTCCGTCCTGCTGATCCCCTGCTCCAGACGTTCGCTCAGGTTTAGGCCCCGCGCGCTCGGCTCGGCGCGGCGCGGCGCGGCACGGCTCGGCTCGGCTCGGCTCGCGCCGGGTGGGACGGGCGTGACGTGACAGAGCGGCCCCTCGTAAAAGATAAAGTGCATCTCAGCAAGTGATGTGCGTGATAGCAGCACACGTAAAACTGCACCCCGAATTACTATTTGCGTCTCGTCTGTCGATGTCGCCGTCCCCTAGCACGCTTGATGCCCCCAGCAAAGAAGGATGTGTTGGGTTTTATAATGGTTCCTTTTTGCAGTCGCCAATGTACCGTAAGTCATGGCTGAGTCAGATAGTCATGGTTATGCACCAGAGACACTCCTCTTGGATAATGCAATTTGAATATTCAGGACAAATAGTCGCTCCACGAGATCCACATTTTGTTCTTCACTTTCATCCGGCGTATTTTCAAGTTTATCTTTTTATTTTTCTGGTCCATTCGACGAGTACTTTTATGGGGCTGCACCTGCGTATGTTCTAGTTAGTTGTGCAGGGACTGAGAAGTTAAATTAGGCAGATGTGGGGAAAATTCAGTGGATATGTCGGGTGAAAGCTGAAAACATCTCCTGACATTCTGTAGAACTCAAACCGTCAATATCGGAGTAAGTTTTCAGAATTTCAGCTTTCAAAGGTGCGCGAATTTTGATCAAGGTTTCAGGACATTTTTCTGACATTCTGACAAAATTTACACAAGTGCTTGATGGACAATAAGAACAGCCTGTGACTTCTGGCTGAATGTAAACTCCCTTTTCTCCCTCGCTGACACGAGGGAATGGCCGAGGAAATTTCCGCGCCTTATGAAACGGTTTTCAAGATAAAACATGTGTCCTGGTTTATGGCCCGGTCTTCGGCGCGCTGGCTGTCTCCCTCCCGGGCCCCATCCTGCGTCCTCTCAGTCCCCTGCAAGCTGCAGAAGCCAGGCGAGGGAAATCGTAAAATCTGTTTGAAATTCATGGAGCGCTCCTTTGATCGGGAACGTGGCGCTAAGAGCGCTGAGCTTATTAGCTGACGGAGGAGCGGGCGGGCATTCTTTCCGAGGCATAGCAGCAGCAGAGTAGTTCCCGATATTGAGCAGGACCGGGCCAGAAGGCAGGCGGGGCGTGGCGGGCCGTGGCGGCGGGTCTGGGGAGCGTCATTGGTCATGGCATCCATGACCACGGGCTGGCGCTGGCGATGCTGGGAATCTTTGGCAAAGCGCATTGCCATGCCGAAACCCACATTTCCGATACTGTACGCTATGCGGTCGCGAAACACTCGTGAAATGCGATGGAAAAACCCTTTCCGAGGAAAAAGTGATTCACCGCGCGCGGTTTGGATCAGATAAAACGACGCGGCGGCACTATTTTATTTGGTGCCGGCCGCTTTGGAGTTCTGCCGGCTGGCCGGCTCGCCTCGCCGGTCGGCCCTTCAAAGGCGATGCGATGTGACGCGTGTACGCGCATCGGCCGCCGCATCAGAGCGGGCCAGTCCCTCGGCCAGTCCGGCCGCCTTGTCAACCTGCTTGTCGGTCTCACGGTGTGCCTCACGGTGTGCCTCACGGTGTGCCTCACGGTGTGCCTCACGGTGTGCCTCACGGTGTGCCTCACGGTGTGCCTCACGGTGTGCCTCACGGTGTGCCTCACGGTGTGCCTCACGGTGCCTCACGGTGCGCCTCACGGTGTGCCTCACGGTGTGCCTCACGGTGTGCCTCACGGTGTGCCTCACGGTGTGCCTCACGGTGTGCCTCACGGTGTGCCTCACGGTGTGCCTCACGGTGTGCCTCACGGTGTGCCTCACGGTGTGCCTCACGGTGTGCCTCACGGTGTGCCTCACGGTGTGCCTCACGGTGTGCCTCACGGTGTGCCTCACGGTGTGCCTCACGGTGCCTCACGGTGCGCCTCACGGTGTGCCTCACGGTGTGCCTCACGGTGTGCCTCACGGTGTGCCTCACGGTGTGCCTCACGGTGTGCCTCACGGTGTGCCTCACGGTGTGCCTCACGGTGTGCCTCACGGTGTGCCTCACGGTGTGCCTCACGGTGTGCCTCACGGTGTGCCTCACGGTGTGCCTCACGGTGTGCCTCACGGTGTGCCTCACGGTGTGCCTCACGGTGCGCCTGTCTCGGCGACGCTCGCTTCAGCAGCAAATTAATCCGCGTGTCTGCCGCCGCTTTACGAGCTGGCCCTGTGGCGGCCGTCGTGGCCCCGGCCCGGCGTGGCCGCCGTCCGGCGATCGGGTCGCGCCGCCGATTCTCGGAATCCGTCCGGCCAAACTTTGCGCGCCGTTCGGGCAATATTTACGACGGTGGGCGGCGGCGGGCGGAGGAGCGCGTCGTAAGTCACGCGGCGGGTCAGCGCGGCGGGCTGGCGGCCCCTGCAGGTCCTGCAGGACGAGGACGCCGGGAGCACTCAGGTGCGCCCCGCCGAACGCCGAGCCTCGCCGCCCGGCTTGGCTAGAGCCCTACAGAAAGAGAAGCGCATTCCCGATCCGGACAAGTGAGCGCGCAATTTTTCATACCGTCAGAAAAGATGGTATAGTAATTTCTCATAGCGTCCGCGGGGGGGTGGGAAGGGAAGAGGGGGGACGACTCTGACGACACAAACAGCAACAAACACATGGCTTTTGCGTGGTTACTAGTGCATCAGGTGCCTAAGTTGTCGTTTAACGCGAGTGGTTTTGTGTAGAAAGTCGTAGGTTCAAAAAGGAGTCAGAAAGGATTAAATGGTAAGAATTTTTTCATAAGATTTTTTTTTCAGAATAATCAGTGGTTGGAATAGTACTTAACCTGTTTGTATTTCTGTGGTTAGGCCGGGAAAAGAAAAGCCTTCAAAGATATTACCAATACCCCTCAAACTCCTCAAACTCCTCGCCTGATATTTGTGGTAAAGAAACCAAGGCTGATCCAAGTTGAAGAGCCACCAGAAGATACAGACCATACAGAGGGTCCAGCTCTTCTCCTGGATGAGGAGAGTGGACTCTTTGTCTCATCTCCACTAACCTCTGTAAGTTGTATGCTTTTATTGAAATGCATCATAAATTTACCTTCACCTTTAATTGATTTATCTATTTCAATCTATTTTCTAGGCTCCTACACTAGAAACGCCCCGGCTCATCCTCCCAAATAAACACCATTTAATCGCAGAGAAAAATGTGAATGAAGCTGAAAATTTAAGCTCTAATGACAGTTTGGACGGTATGATTCTTGATGAAACAACGGGAGATTTTGTTGAATCACCATCAAGCAATTTTACTATCCCATATGACAACACATGTGTAAGTTCAATTCCCTGCATTCTCACCATTTGTTAATTTTACTTAATTACCCAACATTTAATATTAATTTGTTGGTTGGTTTCAGGCTATTATCGATCGAGTTCTGGAGCTGGAGGCCATTGTGGCTCGGCAAAAGGCCGAGCTCAATAGGCGGGAAGGCATGTTGCAGCAATGTGAACGTGAAATTTTAGAAGAGATTATTGCAGAACAGGAGGAGCGGATGAGCCAAATGACTACTGACTTACATGCAGCAGAAGAAAAAATAAAACGCCTGGAGCAAGAGCTTTTGGACATTACAGGTGGAGAGTTTGGTAAGAAAATAGACAAGTACCGTAAAGCAGAAGCAAAATTAAATGAAAAGTTACAAAATTTGGAAAAGCGTTTAAGTCCAACTCAAATCAAAGCTCTCCAAAGAAACTCCACCCGGGGCTTGGTGTGGGGCATTGGAGAAATAAGAGATGGTCTAATTCTGAAAATGAAGTGCGGTACTTCAGGGTATGAGGCTTGGGTGCAGTATCTCCCAATCCTCCCTGCTGTCCGGACACTACAGAAAAATGTCCAGCATGTTGTATTCAGACCAGGCATGATTTTGCATGCTGTTTTTGACATGCTGGAGGTGTTAGGAAACGTCATGCCAGATATTGAAAGAGACTGCCAATTGGTGTGCGACGAGATGCAATTGGAGCCTACACCCAAGTTTGACCTGTCTTTGGGAGAGAAAGTGGGCGATGCCACTCTCCCAGGCCACGAGGGAAAAGCCAACAAAGCTCTTCTGTTCCTCCTCGCTGGCATTACTGCCAGATGGAAGCTGTCAGTGAGGGTGGAATTTACTAACAAGAAGGCAGAAAAATACAAAAATACAAATCATACTGGAATTGTTTATAAAGAAATAATCGATGAAATTATTTTGAAGTGTGAGTCTGTGGGCCTCCGTGTCAGCAATGTCACCACTGACATGGGAGCCGACAACTTGGCTTGTTGGCGAGCATACGGAATAACAGCTAACAAGAGGAGTGTATGCTGCTCATTCCAAAATCCTGTGCGCCCCGAAGCCCAAGTCATTGTGCTTCCAGATGTTGTCCATGTCATGAAAAATACCAAGGCTATGCTGGAGACCAATGGTACTATTGAGTTACCCAGTGATGTCGTGAAAGAAGCTGGCCTTACCTCTCCTATTGTGGACTATAAGCATATAGAAGACCTGCACGAATATGAAAGGGATAATGAACTTAAGGTGGCTTTTCGTCGCCTCAGGGAAGACAACATCCATACGAAGAAGCACTTCAAGAAGATGAATGTTGGGACTGCCAAGGCAGTACTGTGCCACCGCACAGGTGTGGGACTGAAAGTGTTGAGTGAGGAGAAGGATGACCCATCTTATAACACCACAGCATGGTTCATTCTGTTGCTAAATACTTTCTTCACCCTCGCCACAGCCAGGCACAAAGGCCTTGCAATCTCAAAAGAAAACATGGGAGCTTTTGAGAAGGCAGTAGCCATCATTAAGCAAGTGTCCTACATCTTTGCAAATATGAAGGTTGGCAATGGTGACTGGAAGCCAGTGCAAAGAGGCGTGATGGTTCTTTGCACCGGTTACTTAAGGTGCGAGATCGCGGACCGGGGTCCAAGCAACGGCTAAAGGAACTTAGACCGTTGTATTGACCGGAGTCCTCTCATGCGAATACTCCTTGCCATTTTCGTTCAGGCAGTTCAGGCAGTGTAGCACTTTCCCGAGAGATGGCACCACAGTCGAGTACTTCCAAAAAATTAAAAGGTCCTTGTTGGGGGTGGAGAGTCCTATCCTCACTGTGCATCATCTTCGTGTCAATGCCGCCTGATTTGGCAGTGTAGTTGCCGGTGCGGGCGAGGCGAGCACCGGCACCCTCGTCAAAGTGCACAAAGACAGCTTGACAGGTGTCACTCAGCATGGGCACAGCGTCGGGTGAACTTCTGAGATTTCAAATTTATCAAATCAAACTTGTTTTGGCCGTCTTCCTCGTCTCATCGCGGTGCCAGGGGTATATAAATTTATCCCAATAGTGCAAAATGAACGGGTAGTGTCCGCGGCCTAATCCTGTTGTTGGCCCTTCTGGGGCTGCCCCAGTGGCCGAGCGCGCTGCCGGTCCTCGGCTGCGTCTCCAGCGGGGGGAGGGGAGGGGGCAGACGGAGCGGAGACAATAGATCGGAATGCAGCGAGGTGTCCATCATAAACGTGTCGCACCGACTCGGCCGTCCTGCACGCAGTTCTCATTCTTTCCGCCGCGCCACCCTCCGATGCCTCAGGATTCGACCGCCAAATTCAAAACGTGTGAAAAGGACGAAAAAATGAGTAAAACGGCAAGAACGCCTACGCAAAAACTATGATAGGTAAAGCGAATCCGAAAACGGATCCGTGTAGGGGAAGGGTGTCCGGAGGGCAATTGATCAGTCCGAAAGTAATCCGACAATTATTAGTGTCATTAGGGTAGCGTCAAAGAAAAGAGCGAAAGTAGTCGGTTTTGAACACCTCACCAAACGTACAAATATTGATCGCGCGACTCCCGGCCTGATCAATTGCCCTCCGGACACCCTTCCCCTACACGAATATGCTTTTGGTTTCCAGATCAGTCGCATAGTTGAGCCGTAGGCGTTTTTTTCCGCGAGCGCTGTTTTCACACTTACAACGTTCAATATTTCGGTTCAAAATTTTTTGAAAAGAAAATCCTTTGAATGGGGTGCTTGTATTGTCGTCCTTAATGCATGTACAAATTTTGAACGAAATCGGTGACCCAAAATTTACGCGATCTAGCACCTTAAAACTAATTGATTACTTCATACATGAGCGGAAGTTGCCCTTTTTAATGCTTGGTAGATTTACAAGTGACTGCATTGAAAACCTTTTTTCTTTGATTCGACTGAGACAGGCTACTCCCAATGCCTCCTTATTTCTTCAAAATTTAAAAGTAATAACTTTGGCCCAATACAGCTCTTATGTGAAAGGCTCTAACTATGACTCTGATGGTGGTAGCCCTATGTCCAATGTGGACTTTCTTCAAGAAGCAAGGAAGAGAGCATTAGAAAGGGCAACAGAACGTTTTGCAGCAAGTTTAGATGAATTAATGAATAACCCAGTAGACGAGGTTGGGGAAGATGACTTCAAAATATTTGATACTTTGGAGAGGTCTGTGATATATGATATGGCAGGGAGTACGCTTGCTAGGGTGAAGACTTCTAATTCTGTTATTTGTGACATCTGCTGGAGTGCTGTCTTGTGGAAGGGAATTTCTCCTCACCCCGATGCAATGGTCACAGTTCTGAAGGAATTTGTGGACCTTAAAGAAGATGAAACCATCTTTAGCCAAATCTGTGCTTCAGATGAGGTATACAAGGCAGTTCTTTCAGCTGAAGTCACCTTTAGGAGGTACCGAGTGCGGGCTCTAAAATTGAAAGCAGTCCACCTTCGTCACTACTTTGTTGAAAATTTGATGTATGTCTGGATTAAAGCTCATATCCCAAACTGCCATCAGATTGGCAGGAAAATTTTAGACAATTATATTGATGGCCGTATTAAAGATTATTTTAAACTTCAAGGTGAAGTAATAAAGGCCAATGAGCGGATTGTGAGGAGTAGTAAAATGGTTGCTGGTCGCCAGTGTGCAAAGCAGATGGAGTAAAGCCTATGTGTGAGAAGTAATTAAGTATCTAGTTTGACTGTTGGCTATCAAGATTAGTTTCAATTAAATTCTTTTATGTACTGACTATCAAGATAAGTTTTAATGTTTTTCTTTAGAGCCATTGTCTGATTCTTTTTATTAATGTATGCGTGTGGTTACTGTTCCTAGAAAACATTCTCTATGTATATTTTAAAGTGACATTGAAATTGACTGCTCTTTTTTCCTACCATTTTATGTAGTATTTTTGAAACGGGTTACTGTTCCTACAAAATATTGTCAGTGTTTATTTCACAATGATGTTGAGATTGACTGCCCTTTCCCTCTGACGTATTAGTATTTTTAACTTAGTTTTTGTATTTGTAATGATGTATCTAGTTTGACTGTTGGCTATCAAGATAAATATAAATTGAATTGTTTTATGTATTGACTTTTAAATTTAATTGTTTTATGGATTGACTGAGTCTTTTTAATTTATTGTCTTGAAATATTGCTTCTTGGCTGCCCATTTGTGCAGTATTAGTTTTATTTAAGTTATACTTGTGGTTACTGTTCTCACAATACATTGTGTGTGACATTGAAATTGATTGCCGTCCCTTTCTACCATGTTATTTTTCATTTTACTTTTTGTATTTGTACTTATGGTTAATGTTCCTACAAAGCATTGTTTGCCTTTATTTTAAAGTGACATTGCAGATTCTGTTCCCATTGTCTTGGTGTTCTAATAAAAAGATCAAACAAAGTTCATGTCAAAGTTTTTATTATAGAAGGCAACAGCACTTGACACTCCGAGTTTTGTGGTTGTTGAAAGAACGCCATGCACCAACACCATTCAAGTCTTTGCACTCTGCTAACAATAATGGATGCTTAGAGCATCACGACTATTGAAGTAAACAGAAGAAACTTGATGTCGAGTAGAAACTACCATAACCCTTGCACGCAATTGAAGGTCTCTTAGAGCATGTAAACCACTGCTAACAATAACAGACACTTTGAGCATCATGATTATTGACACATACAGAAGTCACTGCAATATCTCTAGCACGATATGAAGAAATAATTTACAACAGCTAACAATAACAGACACTTTGAGCATCATGATTATTGACACATACAGAAGTCACTGGAATATCTCTAGCACGATATGAAGAAATAATTTACAACAGCTAACAATAACAGACACTTTGAGCATCATGATTATTGACACGAACAGAAGAAATTTGGTCGGATATTACCTCCTAGTACAGAAATTAAAAACTACAAGGCAGACCTAACAGTGACATGACACATTTCATCATCAGCTTGAAGCTCAGTTCTGAACATCTTCAGAAGATTTCCCAGCACAAATGATGGAACGGTTTTGCTTCTCTTCTCTCAATTTACGCAGGATATAGTTCTTGTACTGAGATTCTCCTTCCAGACGTTGTAATTTGATTTCATTCTGGACAATGATATTCATGAGCTGCTTCATCCTTTCCATGTGCTGCAACCACGAATAAAGAATTAGTGGTCTTCCAAACACAAATATACTTGGCACGAACACAATAGCATTTGACAACTCACAGCAGTGTGACGGCAGAACACCTCGGCAGAAGGGCTGAACGGCACTGGCATGATGATTTCCAACACCGACGAAATACCTGAAATCAAAAGGGAGGTGATTAGATACACAAATACTCTACAAAGATAAGACATTGAAAGAAATCAATCCATAAAAACAGAAACATTGTCTCCTTAACCTAACTTGACAGTAGAGGCATTCACGCTCTTGTCTCTTAGAAGCCTTCTTAATACACTTTTCTAAAATGATTTATAATCAAACTGCTTGGGCACATCAATAGTATCCTAAAAAGACACAAAACTTACCAAAGCAGGGTTATAATCAGTTGAATTCTTGAAATTAAAAACTCCCCGAACGTCGTTTCCGCGCTTCCGACACTCGCTTTGTTCTGTCTGCAGGGGGCGGCATCAACAGATTATGAGAAATTACTATGCCATCTTTTGCGACGGTATGAAAAGTTATGCGCTGCTTTCGGCAGCGCGCGCGCGCGCGCGCACGGCGGTGGCGCTTCTCTTTCTGTAGGGCTCTAGGCTTGGCTTGCGTGCGCTCCGAGCCACAATGGCGGACGCCAGGACGACGGCAGCGCGGCGACACCTGCGGGGGTCGCAGCGGAATGGGCACCCCTTTCAGTCCGGGCCGCTCGCTGTGCCCCAAATTATGCACTCTGTCTTGTGCTTTCATGGCGGCGTGTCCTGCCTGGCCGCCTGCCTGCCTGCCTGCCTGCCTGCCTGCATGCCTGCCTGGCCGGGGCGCTGCGGTGCAAACGGATGGGAATGTTTCTCGACGGCCGTATCGAGTTTCGCCGCGATACTGCTTGAACGGGCGGGCTGGGCTGGCTGCTTCTGGGAACGCGTATGGAAGCCAGATATGACAAGGGTTCGGCTGGAACCGACAGATTAGCGTGGGGGCGGGGCCGGGGAGGGGGAGGGCAGGGCGTGTGACGTCCACGCCCTGCCGGCCCTGCCGCCGGCGAGTCTCTTGCTACCTGCCAGTCCGGTCTTGTAAGCTGACAACGCGCCCAAGTTCGATTTTGAGGCACTTGCGATGATCTTTACCTCGTCCCTTGTCCACGTCCATTTGCCCGGAACCTCGACGCTCACGACATGGCGTTCGTGATAGCGCAAGTTGCTGTGCACGACGGCAGGGCGGAGCCGCTTGCGTGGACGGGCAGTCGGGCCGACAGACAGGCAGACTGACAGACAGACAGACAGGCAGGCAGACAGATAGACAGACAGGCAGACTGACAGACAGACAGACAGACAGACAGACAGACAGACAGACAGACAGGCAGACTGACAATTCAATTCAATTCAATTCAGACAGACAGACTGACTGGCAGACTGACAGACAGACAGACAGGCAGGCAGACAGATAGACAGACAGGCAGACTGACAGACAGACAGACAGACAGGCAGACAGACAGATAGACAGACAGGCAGACTGACAGACAGACAGACAGGCAGGCAGACAGATAGACAGACAGGCAGACTCACAGGCAGACAAACAGACAGACAGGCAGACAGAGAGACAGACAGACAGGCAGACAGACAGACAGACAGACGGGAAGACGGACGTAAACGGAGCCCGCTGACAAAAGACGAACACGTCGCGGCGTTGCGGCGGGATCTTCTTTTCTTTTTTCATCCGCGCGATGGGCGCGCTGCACGCTGGCAGTGTGCTGGCACTCGGCAGGAATTGCGCATTGTTGAATTACGAGCGGCTGCAGTGTGGGCCTTGCCTTGTCGCTACGCATGGCTGTCTTCCGCGTGCCGTGGCTCACAGGTGGGAATGCGGCGAGGCTGGCGAGCCCCGCCGCCCGCCCAGCTTGTCATTATTATTTGCCGTCGATTTGTTTATTGATGCTGGCAAGCCCCGCCGGACGGACGGCCGGTCGGCCGGCCGGGGCCTCGCGTCGCGCCGTCCAGGCTGTCGAGGCACGGCACGGCACGGCGCGGCACGGCACGGCACGGCGGTGTCTCGGCCCCACGATCAATCAAGCGCACCGCGGGACAAATTGGAGAGACACGAGCCGGGCTGCCGTGCCTTCGGCCGAGAACAACTGCTCGTCCTGTCCGCGCTGCGCCGCGCTGTGTGTCCGAGCGGTCCGGGCCGCCCGGCCGCGATAACCCCGACTCGCCGCTCTTGCACCGATCTCGGCCCGATAGTCTGACGGCCGGGACGGTCTCATTCCCGAGAAACGGCTTTATGAGCGCTGTGAGTCACCGAGTGCCCTCACCAGCGCCCGGTGACGCGACATAGGCCGGTTCACGCGAGTCGCGCCTCGGGTCACCCGTCACACAGTGGGCCAGAAGACCGGTGGAGGCGGCCAAACCTCCAGACGCGTTTTGAGCTCCAGTGTCGCTAAATGGGCCTCGAACAGAACGTGTGACCCCACCAATGGATTCCTCGTTCGGAGAGCAATCCGTTGGTGGGGTCACACGTTCGGTTCGAGACTCTGGAGGACAACGCGTCTAGAGTTTTTGCTTGCCGCCTCCGCCGGTCTTCTGGCCCACTGTGCGTCACCCGTCAGCGGTTCGGCTGACGATGGCCAGCACTTAGCGGACACGGCACTGACTCCACTCTGGGCTCGCTGACGCACAGTGCGTTGTGACAACGACGGGTTGGCCTTCGAACCGTCACTTTACTGGTAACATGGCGCTTTTGATTCGACTACTCCCACCTGACCGAGTGGCCGCGTCCTTGCGGTCCGTCCTTGCGGTCCGCTCGGCCCCGCGGGGTGGAGCGCTAATTGGCCCGGCGACTCGCGGCGCCGCAGCGCCTCTAGAGGGGCCCTAAAGGGGCCGGGGAGCAGCCCAGAGGGGCGCGGAGGTGGAGCGATCATCTAGAAGCTTATAATAAATACGGTGCTGGAGTTGATGAAAGCCTTCGTCCAGTAAATAACCCCAAGCCAAGCGGAGCGGAGCGCAGCCAGCGAGGACCCTTGTCACCCGGCCATGATCGATGTGTGGGGCCGTGGTGACCCTGCGTTAGTGTGTGTGAGTGCGGGCGAAGGGGGGAGGGGAGGGGTTGTGTCTGCGAGCCCCTTTCTTATTCTTTGATCGCCAAGATTCAACACGGCCCCACGGTCCACGCCGCCATCACTAACGCGACGCATCTTGGCTTGATATTTTGTGTGTGTGTGTGTGTCTCTGTGTGTGTGTGTGTGTGTACGCACCCGCGCGTGTGCGTGCGGTGTGAGTGTCTGTGTTTGCGTGAGAGACAGGCTAAAAAGCTCCACATAAATAAGTGAGGCTCTGGATGTTGTCGGTAGGGCGAAAACGTGGCTGAACCTCTCCCCCCCCCCCTCCCCCCTCCCCCAGTACAGAGAGTGCAGATAGGGCCTCGTTGGCAGTCCGCCACATGTCACCAGTCCAAAAGACGCAGCGGCGTGCGGGGCGGGGCGGGGCGGGGTGGGCACACTGTAGGCAGGTGCGCGAGGGGATTGACTTGCTCACACCTCTTCCGACTCGTTTGTTGCAGGTGGGTGCGTCTTGGAGCGAGTTGCTGCTGCGGTTACCTGGCGGCCGAGTGCGTCGCCGAGCACTGCGCTGTGCGGCGCGGGCTTCGGGCCTCGTCGTCGTCATAATGGATCGGTGCGAGAGCCGCCACCTGCGCGCTGCGCCACGGCGCTCCACCTCCGCGCCGCACAGTGGGCCAGAAGACCGGTGGAGGCGGAGAAAACTCTGAACGCGTTTTGAGCGCCAGAGTCGCTAAATGGCACTCGAACCGAACGTGTGACCCTACCAATGGTTTGCTCTCCGAACGAGGAATCCATTGGTGGGGTCACACGTCCGGTTCGAATCCTGTTTAGGGACTCTGGAGCTCAAAACGCGTCTACAATTTTGGCCGCTTCCGCCGGTCTTCTGGCCCACTGTGCGCCGGCTGCCTGATGAGGCGCGTCTTTGTAGTGCGACACTCTGACGAATGGAGCCGAGCCGGTAGTGCGGGGGGCGCGCCACTGTAAGGAGGAGCGGAGGGCGCCAACGAGGTGCCCGGCGAGGCGCTGGCACACTGGCGCCGTGGCGTGGCGCCGCAGGAAGCGGCTGGCGGCGCTGGCGGATTCTCCCCGCGCGGCCGTCCCGTGGTTAGCGCTGGCGGCGTCCGAAAGGTCCGAAAGCTCCCCGCCGTCGCTCTTCGGACGCGCCCTGCCCGTTCTGAAAACGTCCTGATGGGGGACGGGGGAC